CTGTATTGCACGCTACGGTCAAATATTTAGAGGAGACAAGGTTTTTAGATAAACATATTGAAACACTAATGTTCTAGTGTACTATATGCTGTGTATTTTTTGATATAAATGTATTTATTTTAATTAGGCTCATTTAGCTCAGCGCTTTGGTTGTTCAGGATTGATCATTTATTCTGATCCAGCTGATTATGCACCAAAGAATGGTCCCCCTGTTTATCCTAAAGGCCCATCTCTTCCTCCAGGAGGTCTTCAGAGAGGAACTGTGAAGTTAACTGATGGAGATCCTCTTACTCCTTTTATACCAGCAATAGGTAATAACATACATAATCAATAGTACAGGGATTTTGAAAGTAGAGAATTCTTTGTTTTTATAATTTTTCTGATGCATATACATTTACTTATGTTGTGCAGAAAGTTTGACCTGATTCTGATCCATTTTGAATTTTTAAAGAATTTTTAATTTGCTCCAAAATCAGGCCAAAGTTCCTGTACTATAGTACAGGGATTTTGGCCAGAATTGGTCAAAAATGGAAAGTAGAGAATTCTTTGTTTTTATAATTTTTTCTAATGCATATACAATGTACATTTACATGTACTTATGTTGTGTAGAAAGTTTGAACTGATTCCGATCAATTTTGAATTTTTAAAGAATTTTTAAAGTTGCTCCAAAATCAGGCCAAAGTCCCTGTACTATAGTACAGGGATTTCGGTCAAATTTCGTCAAAGATTAAAAGTAGAGAATTCTTTGTTTTTATATTTTTTTCTGATATATTTACATTTGCTTATGTTGTGTAGAAAGTTTGAGCTGATTCCGATCAATTTTGAATTTTTAAAGAATTTTTAAAGTTGCTCCAAAATCAGGCCAAAGTCCCTGTACTATAGTACAGGGATTTCGGTCAAATTTCGTCAAAGATTAAAAGTAGAGAATTCTTTGTTTTTATATTTTTTTCTGATATATTTACATTTGCTTATGTTGTGTAGAAAGTTTGAGCTGATTCCGATCAATTTTGAATTTTTAAAGAATTTTTAAAGTTGCTCCAAAATCAGGCCAAAGTCCCTGTACTATAGTACAAGGATTTTGGTCAAATTTCGTAAGAATTTTTAAAGTTGCTCCAAAATCAGGCCAAAGTCCCTGTACTATAGTACAGGGATTTTGGTCAAATTTCGTCAAAAATGGAAAGTAGAGAATTCTTTGTTTTTATATTTTTTTCTGATATATTTACATTTACTTATGTTGTGTACAAAGTTTGAGCTAATTTTGATCAGTTTTGAATTTTTAAAGAATTTTTTAAGTTGCTCCAAAATCAGGCCAAAGTCCCTGTACTATTAGTAATGTGGTAGCGTTACTAAGTAGGATTCACCCCCAAACAAAATGGCTGCCACGACTTTTGCAGCCTTGCTTAGTACAGGGATTTTGGCCAGAATTCATCAAAAATGGAAAGTAGAGAATTCTTTGTTTTTATATTTTTTTCTGATATATTTACATTTATTTATGTTGTGTAGAAAGTTTGAGCTGATTCTGATCAATTTTAAATTTTTAAAGAATTTTTTAAGTCCAAAGTCCCAGTACTGTAGTACAGGGATTTTGGCCAGCATTTGTCAAGAATAAAAAGTAGAGAATTCTTTGTTTTTAGATGTATAATTTTTCTAATACATATTCATTTACTTATGTTGTTTAGAAAGTTTGAGCTAATTTCAATCAGTTTTGAATTTTTAAAAAATAAAGTTACTCCAAAATCTGGCCAAAGTCCCTGTACCACAGGGATTTTGGCCAAATTTGTCAAAAATGAAAAATAAATTTTTTTGTTTTTATAATTTTTTTCTAATATATTTACATGTACTTATGTTGTGTGGAAAGTTTGAGTTGATTCCAATTAAATTTTGGAATTTTTAAGAATTTTTCAAGTTGCTCAAAAATTGGGCCAAATAAGTCCCTGCATTTGCTATAAGTCATGTCTCAAAAATTTTAATATGATTCATCTCAAACTTTCTATATTGCATAACGACATAGATACGTATCTGAAAAATTAATAAAATTTGGGGATAATTAATTGTGATTTTTTAAAGCTGCATAACAATAATAATAAAATAACATCACAATATGAGAAAATAGGAACCAGAAAGGTTAGGTTAGGAACAGGTCAAATATAAAGGAATTGAGAGTCAAGTGAACAAAATTGAAAATAATTATTAACTGTGATTTCAGATGATGAAAGCAATGTTGGCAATATTTTTATACTTAAACGGTTATATTTTTAGATGGTGTGTATAGACGTACATATGAGGATTTTGTAAAGGCAGGGGATGGTCCAGCAATACCAGTACAACCAATATCTTATGGTGATGCCATTCACTTTATGAGGTAATAGTCTTCTTATTCTAATTATTAATAATCTGTTTTTATTAATTAGTCAGTTGGACAGCATTCAGTCTCCTGATGGCTGGAGAGGAGAGCTTGATATTAACTATATGATTTACCAATCAGATACTAATAAGAAGTTAATTTTTGTGTCTTGATATACGTGTATTGTATATGTATATATCATTATTCTTTTATAGATTGACTTTTCTTAAAGTTAATAATTTTTTCGAAATAAGAACAATACGTAATGTGTTTGCTGTTGTCTATGGAACAATGGAACCTGGTCAGTAACTAGATCTAATTATAATTTTATGTAATTATAAATAATTGTGAATTTTTTTACTTTGTACATGTACATGGCCTAAGGGTACCAGAAAATTATACAGTCTTTTAAATTTAATTTTAGAAAAAGCTATAGCATATAGACACACATCAAATGCTTTTAATGATTGGTGATTTTATCCTAGAAGCTAGGTCTTGATATTATCAGCCAACTTTGAGTGAAATGTATTTATGTTTGTGTTCCTTTTTTATTACTGTGTTATTCCCTGTTATTTTGTTGTAATCCTTAGATCATCTGGTGCTGTTGGGCAATCATTACGATGCTTGGACATTTGGTGGAGTTGATCCAAACAGTGCCACTGCATTGATACTAGAAGTTGCTAGAGTAATAGATCAGTTAAGAAGTACTGGTGAGTATACAGCAGTAGTAGTAACAACTGCATCTGGTCAAAAATCTTTTACTATAGTAGTACATAAAAATGGCTAGGAGAGAATTTTTATAATTTTTAAGTGTACGTGTATGTTATGCATGTTTTTATGTTGCATAGAAAGTTTGAGCTGATCCTAATCAAAATTAATTTGTCATAAATTTTTAAAGTTGCTCAAACATTGTACTGAAGATCTTGTATAGGGTATTTATTATTTAATCAAAAATGGCTATGTTATTATTTTCTGATGCATAATGATGTGTAGAAGATTAATCCTCACTATGTTCTCCTTTAGGATGGAGACCAGGTAGAACAATAGTGTTGTGTAGTTGGGATTCAGAGGAGTTTGGACTGATTGGATCTACTGAATGGGTTGAGGTACAGTTTTTGTATAATTCTACTTTTAATTGTGCGTGCTAATTGTTGTAGCAAGGCTATAAGTGCAGAAACTTAGATAATAGGTGCCAAAATTATTTGACCCATAAAAGTGCCATTTAAGTATCTCACTGTTTGTTAATTCAATGATTATTTGTGCTCAAAAGATCTACAGAATTATTATAATTTTAGGATATGGAGAAGGTACTTGGAGCTAATGTTGTTACTTATCTCAATGTTGATTCTGCTGTTTCAGGTATATACATATTACATTATTGCCAGATCTACTTCTTAAAAATGGTATTGTTAGCAACGTCCTAACTTCCATTTAATAGGTATGGATCAGTTTATTGCTGATTCTAGTCCACTCTTATTTGATGTGATATATGAGGCAACTAAACAAGTATAGATCTACTTGCTATGACTGAACTATTATGAAACAATAATTTATAGGTCAAGTGTCCTTGTAATGATTATCCAACACTTTATGATAAATGGAAAAGTCAAACTACAACTGA